ACTGGGTCTTGATTTAGAACTGCCTACTATTGCCGACGGTTTGAGCAAATATCTAGGCGACCTAAAGGAAAAACTGTTGTCGTTCAAGGATCAGTTTGAACGGTACAGAAGGCGTCTGAAGATCGCAAGAAAGGAACAGATGAACAGGTTCGAGCTAGACGCATTGGGCATCTACAATGGAAATACGGAAGAAGAACTCTCAAACATTGCTAGCACTAGTTCCTCCATGCCATCGACTAGCTCTGGACGAACTAACTCCACCACTTTGACAGCAAAGAACAGGCGTAAACATATCAAGGAACTGACCCCTAAGCTGATCAGATTGTGCAGTCCTTTGAACTTTCGAATTGCTTGCAAATCCGTCCTCACTATAAACTGCGTTTTTTCAAAAATGAAAGACAAAGTCCCGCTGCTTGGCTTAACCAACACAGTCTACTCCATCAATTGTAACAACTGCAACCAAATATACATAGGTTAGACCTCCAGATCTCTTAAAGGAAGGATTACATCACACAAAAGTGATGCTGGGCTTCATCCTGAAAGATGCGCTCTAGCATCTCATGTTAACACAACAGGGCATTCTATGAATTACACACGTATTAAAGTTCTTGATAAATAAAAACACCTTTCCAAACGTTTATTCCTGGAAATGTCCCACATTTTCATGAATAACAACTGTATCAACAAAAAGACAGATGTTAAACAACTGAGTGCCATTTACTCATATTTGCTGAACTGCGAAAAATTGGAGAACTTACACATCTCCCCAAATTTCGACTCTTCACAACCATAAATAGAATCTGTGTTTTGGCCGATTCCACCAGTAAATTTCATTCCACTCAAAATATAATAATTCTCTTCTCACGATTTATTAATAATTATTAATTTAAATTTCCATTAATTAAAATATAGTTTATTCAACTGCCTCTGGTCGGTTTAACAATTTCTCACATAACATTCTGAAAATCACATCATCTGAAATGATTTGGCAACGTTTGGCACGCGCCCACAATTCGTTCCATCTTTCAACACAGACATTGACAACCTTCGGCCTTCTGTCAAAGGGTTTCATCTCACTCACTATTCCATGACCACCATTTTGTGCAATCATCAAGTGGCTTCACGGTGTAATGCTCTAATGTTTTTTAAATAATTTTAATCTGTTTTTAACTTGTTCTTGTCATATTTTATATAATTTTGAGCATTGTACCATCTATCCAGCTCTCGTCATGTTACTGGACGTTTCCCTCATCCTATACGTAAACAACAATTAGCAACATCCTCACACACTACTGTAAGTTGAGTCAATTCAAATTCATTTTACACTTTTGTTGCTACTGTTATCATTGTAATTGCAGCTCCTGATGATGATGGCAAAGTCCATTGAAAGCTAGAGAGAATTAAAAAAGTATAAAGAGTCCTCTTTGCTTAAATTTTGTCGAAGTACCCAACAAAAGGCGGAAGCTTTAATTTTCACCTAACTGGTCTAGACGACAATGACCACGTCTCAAGTTATATATATATATAGTAAATAGAAAGACACCTGTGACAAATTTCTCACGGATATTTTTTTAACGCGGGAATATAGCATTAGGGCTATCTTCGGATAAAATACTTTAATCAATACTATTACACAGTAATTCATTACAAATTATTTTATTTCCTAGCGATTACACCAGCTAACACGCCAGATACTTTCTCCGTGTATACATCCGACTGGAAGTTAGGTTATTCGACCCTTCTGATTGCTTTTAACTTGGGACTGATACTTGTTTATTCAAGAGAACTAATCCAAATCGATTTACTAATGGCAGAGCATAAGCTGACATGCTTGATCTGGAATCCACTGTAATACCAGCGATACTACTAAGAGTTCATTCATGCACACTAAATGGGAAAAGACTTCTCATTTTAGATCATAGCAAACTACCTGCAACATTTGACTACAAGATAGTGGCAATATTTGACGTGAACGACGATTACATCAACTGCTTGTGCTGGAACCATTATGGCAGCAAAATTTCCGAGTGTACAGAAGATGGGTTTGTTTATGTAAGTAATAGTGACATCGACCTGTTATCAATGTTGTTTTAAGCGCATTCGAATTGACGTATCTCACCAAACTGAAAACCGGTTCAGTTTCATAAAAAATCTACCTCAAACTTAGGGTTGTCCAAATATGAAAATCAGTTAGCTTGATGTTTGGAATTATCGGCCATAAAGTATGACAGACGTGCATATAATGATTTAAAGTTACTGTCGAAAGTATATTGATCCCTGATACCTCACTGCCCACGCTCAGTGGCGGAAGTTTTGAAAATGATATATTTTTTGGGTGTTGATGAATATAGCAATCAAGTCAGAAGATTCAATGAAAAGGCCAACCATTGCTCACAGTGAAGGCGTCGCGAAAAATAGCACACTAGACGTAGCACGTGTAAATATAAGATCACTTATTCCAAGCTTTGATATGTTTTTAGGCATTAGAGCAGAACCTCCATACTACCGCAATAACAGAGATTTGGTTTACACCTGATTTTGACAGACAAGAAAGGGGAGGTGGAGCATGTTTTTATATCCATACCAACATAAAATTTAAAGTCATAGATTGTAATAAAATTTCTTCGGATGGCATTGGATCTGCGGTTATCGCTAAAACTAAATAATGAGATCAGTGCGGTAGGTGTTATTTGACATCTCCTGCATTAAGTTTACTTCCTCGCCTTGAGAATAACTATCCCTCCATATGCATTACCCATGATGAAGTTATATTGACCTCACCGATAAGTTTTCGAATCCCAGTAAGAAAATCTTACAATCCATGGCATTATTCAATCTCGTTCAAGTTACTGGTGAACCTACAAGAATCACCAAGGATTCAGCTACTATGATTGATGTAATTTTTGTATCAAATGCATTGAATGTACACAAGAGTGGCACTATAGGTATGGGAAAATAACTGATCATAGATTATACTTCTGTGAATTGAAGATTGAAATTCCTGAATGCACTCCTAGCAAATTTTATTGTTGTGACTTTTCACACTTCAATTATGATGAATTTGCTGAGGATGCAACAGTCTTCCATCTTACTGAGAACAGTATCTTGCTGTATGACATACGTGCTCCGATGGAAATAACTACACCTCGTGAATTCTACAGGCCGTTCGTTATCTATATAATGAAATGTATAATATGACGGATTTGATGAAGGGCTTGTTGAAAATTTCATATTTCTTAACGACCTGCAAAAGCAAGCATTCAAAACCTTTGACCCGTGCCATAGGAGCTACTTTCAAATTATCAGACTCTATGCGCAAAGCCTTTCAAGAAAACGCAAGTTTCAAGAGGCAGCTGTCGTCTACATGAATGCTGGACTACATAAAGAGGCGATAGAAGAATATAGACTTGGTTTAGACTAGAGAGAGGTCATAAGGCTTATGACTGTATTGAAGTATGATGAATCTGTCAAGCGAGATGTGTTGGGGAAGATTGCGGATGATCTGGTAAAAGAGAAAAGGGTAGAGGAAGCTGAGATAGTGTTGGAATACCATAATAAAGATTATAAGAAGACGATCAAGACTTTGATGGACTTCAAGTCCTTCAGGCACGCCATATGCCTACCAGTATCACTGGGTCTTGATTTAGAACTGCCTACTATTGCCGACGGGTTGAGCAAATATCTAGGCGACCTAAAGGAAAAACTGTTGTCGTTCAAGGATCAGTTTGAACGGTACAGAAGGCGTCTGAAGATCGCAAGAAAGGAACAGATGAACAGGTTCGAGCTAGACGCATTGGGCATCTACAATCGAAATACGGAAGAAAAACTCTCAAACATTGCTAGCACTAGTTCCTCCATGCCATCGACTAGCTCTGGACGAACTAACTCCACCACTTTGACAGCAAAGAACGGGCGTAAACATATCAAGGAACTGACCCCTAAGCTGATCAGATTGTGCAGTCCTTTGAACTTTCGAATTGCTTGCAAATCCGTCCTCACTATAAACTGCATTTTTTCAAAAATGAAAGACAAAGTCCCGCTGCTTGGCTCACTATTCCATGACCACCATTTTGTGCAATCATCAAGTGGCTTCACGATGTAATGCTCTAATGTTTTTTAAATAATTTTAATCTGTTTTTAACTTGTTCTTGTCATATTTTGTATAATTTTGACCATTGTACCATCTATCCAGCTCTCACAATGTTACTGGACGTTTCCCTCATCCTATACGTAAACAACAATTAGCAACATCCTCACGTATTACTGCAAGTAGAGTCAATTTAAATTCATTTTACACTTTTGTTGCTACTGTTATCATTGTACTTGCAGCTACTGATGATGATGGCAAAGTCCATTGAAAGCTAGAGAGAATTAAAACAAGTATAAAGAGTCCTCTTTGCTTAAATTTTGTCGAAGTACCCAACAAAAGGCGGAAGCTTTAATTTTTCACCTACCTGGTCTAGACGACAATGACCACGTCTCAAGTTATATATATATATATATATATATATATATATATATATATATATATATATATATATATATATTAATCAGACAAAAACGTTGAATTTTAACTGGAGAATATTCAATCACAGGTTCCAAAGAGAGCTCGTCAGCTCGTTGATAATATGGATAGGACAGACCTCGGAGGTGACAGACTCATGGGCAAAGATGGCCGTTCCACCACACTTGCTCTCAGATCTGCAAATACTACAAACCAGTGAAAATTCATTTATACAAGTGCACTAAATTTGATCATTTTCTGACCAATGTTCATCCATACAAAGAAATTTTGTATATTGTTCTTGACCGTAAGCTTCCAAAGGTCTATTTTACTTGGCAAGCTCGTATGGATATTTATTATCTCGTCATGTTTTTGTTGTCTTTGTGGAACACATGTTCGTTGTCAGATGGAATCATTTTTTTGCCTCAGTAGGCCAAGAGGCAACAAGTGTATAATCCCGACTTGAGTCAGCTGTTTCTGGGGAGACTCTCTACCATCAAGGGTAAGGTAACGGCTGAGACAATAATACCACGATTAAGTTGCGAGACACTGTATTCACTGAACCCCTATAGATATAAACGTATTGGAAATAGGGAATCTTAATTAAACTTAAAATATGTAGACCTTCTGGCGCGCGCGACACGCTGACCCTCTTGCTCGCAATCCGTTCATCAGTAATCACCTGTGGTTTCTCATTGATTTTTGTAGCAAGATCCTTCTGTCTGAGTCCTTTAGCTTGACGCCCTTGCTGAATCAACTTGCCAACGTCCAATGGAATGGTTTCGTGTTTCAGTTCCTCAGTCTCACGATCAAGCTTTGCAGTATTCTTTGTGGTCACATGCTGTTTGTTACTACCAGATGTATTGTACTGAAAAATATAATTACATGTCCACACCACACACATAGTCTAAGCTGTAGACGAGAATATTGATTTGCCAGAATTAAACTTTGTCAATAAAGAGTGACATCTGTATGAGTTTAAGCTAGGGTTGCCTTTTGAAGGATTTGTTGCATTCGTTAACTTATATTTCTAGAATACTTACCTGGTGCATCAAAAGGCGGATGGTCTTTTATTCGAAATACATTCAATATATAATCCCTTGTACCGCAGAATATAATGTAGTGTTTTTCTGGGTTCTTTTGGGTGTGGATTAAAACTCGAGATTCCACAAAAATAAATGCACTTCTTTACTTTACTTGACCAGATAGAACATTTATGTACACCACTATTTATGTCTAACTAATTCTTATGCCGCGCCATTGATTGCACTCCACTCCGCTCTACTCTAATGTACCCCGCACCGTGCTTCCATCTCCCGGCCGTCGAGTTATATATACTCCGAATCGCTGCTTCGAGAGAGGTTTGGCGAGCGACAAAGCGGCATCTAGAATATTTGAGGTCACCTGGCGTAGATCTAGAAGGCGAGTCACTGGTACGAGAAGGAGAGTTTCCTAATAGATGGCGCCAACAGTACTATCTATTATCGTCACACTGCCCTCTCGGTAAAGTCATTCCGTCCCGGAATGATCTTATTGGCGGTGGATCTCGATATCGGCACGACTGCCCTTTCTTGCAGTAGGAGTTCTTAAGAAGTAACAATCCACACTCCTTCCAGGAGGTAGCCGTCTAGGACTGTGACAACATACCAGAAATCGAATGGCCATTAGCATTGTGAGCCATAAAAAGATCAAATGTCATGTCCGATTCTGGTTGGATTTGCTGCATCGCCGCATCTTCGTTGTTTCCATGATAAGGTGCCCTGTAGTCGACGGAGTTTTTGAGGATCTATGACTGTAGGTTCTGATTTAGAAGGACTGACTTTGTGGCAGATGGGTTGTGGAGGCAGATGATCCTTTTCCATCGCATGCAGAGATGAACTGCCTAACAGGGTAGGAGAAGGACTGATTTCTTGTTGGAGACGAAGATTCATCTCTACTGGAAGTTTGTGCGACTCCCGTGGAGGTGTAGTCGGCATGCTGTTGGTTTCTTGAGTTATATGACTGACTAAGTGATCCAGGTTTTAGATCTGAAATAGTTCCTCTGGCAGTGATCGAGGCGGATTGATATATGGTGATGTTGGATCAGTTTCTTGTAAGGAAGACAGTTGATCCATCAAGTCCTCTAGTGGCAACTGAGGTGGACTGGTCTCTATTTGTTGAACCGGGCTGTCCTCCTGCAACGTCGAAGGATTGTGAACCTCTGTTGTTATCTGTTGCACTAACTGAGCAAATTCTGGGGATGGTGTGCTCAGTCTGCTCCCTTCTAGCCTCCAAGGATAGATTTCTGTTAATATCTGATGTGTCTTCATGGGAGACGCGATTGGGATGTCCTTTTGTAACGATGCTGCCTGAGTTGATGAAGATGGTTGACCCTGGCCGACTTCCTGTAGCGTGCACTTCATTTCTGGCGAGGCCTGTAGTATGAGTTGTGTGTCCTGGAGGTCGCCTGCTTGGATTCGCTGCTTCTGAACGGTTATATTGTGCTTCTCCTTTTGGCGAGCATCGAAATTTCGAGCTGCCTGTATAAGTCGGTCCATCCCCCTCGTCCCAGCTTCTGTTAGAGTCTGACTGTTTGAAGGACTGGGTTCTCGAATATTCTGAGACGTAGTCTGGAGGTCATGTTGAGCCATATCCTTCAACGTTAAACTGACTTCCTGAGGCTTGGCAGATGTTAATTCCTGTTGTGTCATATCCCTGGCCACTACATGACTGACTTCTTGCTGAGTCACATAAGCTATTTGTTGTGGCATATCCAAAATTTGACGTTTGACAGTCATTTTTTGTACTACTGGTGGTGAAGTAAGTCTTGTTGTTGAATGCGGACTGACAGATGGTGGCTGGGGTACTGCCCGTGCGTTTGTTGTTCGAGGCGGCACTATCTGAAGGATAGAGAGCGTCTTTACTCGAGGAGTACTCCCCGGAGGTACCACTGGTATAGGAAGAGTGACCACGTTGACTGGAATTGGAGATACTACCGCTTTGCTTCTCAGAACTGATTTGGAACTGGATCCCTGATGTTCCCTTGGCTGAGGCAGACTGACCTCCTTGGCCGTAGTTTTTACTAGGCTGGCCGCAGGTACTTCTGCCTGGAGTTCTGGGAATGTTGATAGTAAACTGGTTTCCTGAAATAGGCATGGCTGATGCTGAGCCAAGGTAATCACCTTGGGTTGCAGAATGTTGGCTCGCTGTTTGGAAGGTGTCACTGCTGTTGATGCTTTGCTGGTCTGGGGTAAAACCGCTTGACTTTTTGCGATTATTAATTCTGAGCTGGTTCCCCGAGGTTGAGGTACATCCGCTGTACTGAGCCACACAGGTGTTTTCACTCGTAGTAATAGTGGTTTCCTTGAGGTGCTGGGCTGAGGATCCGTAATTTTGTCGTTCCTTACAGGCTGTGGTGTACTCGGTCCTTTTGAGGTGTTGGGTTGGGTGTCGTGAACTTGCAGAGTCTTGCTGATTGGTTGTGGGCTTATCAAACTTTGTGGTATCGTGTTGCGTACCAACTGCTGGCCGATAGCTGGCGTTTGAGACTGAGTTTCCACTGAAGTTATTGGATGTGAGTCTTGAATCTTGGGAGACAGTGTGCTTGGACGTGGTGCGGATTGAAGCAGCTCCTACTTGCGAATCCACTGGTGCCACCTCGTTGATTGGGTTTTCCAGCACTGGTTGCGTTTGCCGAGAGCGCAGCAGTAATTTCTGTTCCAATGAGAGCGGAGTACTGGTTTCTTTCTGGGAGCTTGGAGGTACTACCTTGATTTGATGAGTTGACTTTGATGATTTTAGTATCAGAGGCGTATGCTTCCGCGTAATGGTTCTTGGTTGACTTCGTGGCGGGTATTGAGCAATGACCTGAGACATTTTTATTCTTTCCTTGGGTATGCTTATGAGAACTTTCTTCTGAGAGCTGCTGATATCCAGATTTTATCTGGATGAACTGAACGAGAGCCTGTTTTGTGTTTCTTTGTTCAATGTTTGTTCTGTTGGTTTTACAGATACTATCTCCTTGAGAGGTTGTTGCTCCATGGATTCTTTTTCTGTTTTCTGATGTAATTTTTTTAATATATCCTTTAGCGTTATTTTCATTACTTTCATTTCCTTTGCCACTTGCCCACGAAGTTGGCGCAATGTGGCAAGTTTTACGTTTTTTGACTCATCTGTGGCTGTCGAAGTCGAAGGCTGAGGTTCGCTAGAAGAAGGCTTGAACTGTTTTTCAGGCGTGCCTTCGTTCGAATCCTTATCCTTGTGCCTTTTTAATGCCGGTCTAAATTCTCTCAGGGTTTTGAAGGTCGTGGGATCGAATTTTTTCGGCAGTGTATTCAGTAACGGTAAAAAGAAGTCTCCGGCGTCGTCACTTCCAAGACTGTACGGTCGTGAGTCCTGTGACATCGAATCTTCGCTATTTGACGGCGATTCTTCATCAGAAACAAAATTCTGATCTAAATACTGTTCGTATCCTCTCTCAATACCAGCAAGCTCATCCAGTGGTTCTGTCTTGATATTTTTAAACATAGAGTAATCTATGTCAACAAATTTCAGCTCAGTGACTAAATTCTTAGCATCCTGCGGGTCATGCAAGTACATTTTGCAAATTCTATGGAGGTCGTCCCAAGGCAGGTATCAACTGAGTACTTGATACCTCGGGTTCGATAGACATACCACCAGATCGTCGCATAACGGCTCAGATATTCCTAAAACGGGATTCTGGAGTGCTTCGTGCAGGGTCATGTTGATCTTTGGCAATTCTACGCTAGGTTTACACATCCAATCTCCGCATTCTGAACATATCCAGGTTATTTCGTCAGTTGGTAGAGCGGGTGGGTGCAAACGGCATTTCCAATCTTCCTCAGCTGTGGTAACCTGTAATTTTTATTAGAATCGTACCATGCATGCCACTGTAATGTTTGGTATTGTACGGGATACGCTTACAAAGGATCACAAGTAGTACGCACTTTTATTTCAAATGTCAAGTGGTCTATTAAGCAGTAATTGTAACAGTTTTAAATAACAGTCCTTTGGCAAAACGTTCAGGTTGACGTTCCGGACCGAAGTGTCATTTCCATGACATATACAGGTAGATCAGAATACAAATAGATACATTACATTATTATTGACAAAAACCAATACAGAGCGCGTTTCATAATTGCCGTGCAGCAACCCAGTTGCATGCAATGCAATCTCCCATTTTGCTTCCGTTTCGACAGAATGACTAAGGAAACGTTTAGCTTTATTGGAGCCAGATGTTCAAGTAGTCCAACAGTTTCAAAAATGGACGTGAGGTCGTTAAAGACCTAGAATTATCAGACACCCTTCAACGAGACGTGTAACTTCATAAACAATTGCCGACGAGTCAACAATATTCAAATTTACATCTCACAAAAACACCGCTAATAAAAAATATAGACCTGTTTATTTACATTAGGATGTTTGGAGACATCTCCTCGGTAATTTGCAATGTTGCATGTCCTCAATAAAGGCTAGTAAATCCCAGAAAGTGCTTTCTATCTATACAAGGGCGTACCCAGGAGCAGCTGCCTCCCTTACCTATAGCTCGGCAAAAATTAAATGGCAAGAACATTTTTTACAAAAATTAAATTATACATTCAGAGTTTTCCACAAGCTGAATCAATATCTATTAGTTGAGAAATGACTAGGATTAGTTGAAATCTATGCTAGATATAAAGACTCCACAACCCATCTGCCACAAAGTCAGTCCTTCTCCATCAGAACCTACAGTCATAGATCCTCAAAAACTCCGTCGACTACAGGGCACCTTATCATGGAAACAACGAAGATGCGGCGATGCAGCAAATCCAACCAGAATCGGACATGACATTTGATCTTTTTATGGCTCACAATGCTAATGGCCATTCGATTTCTGGTATGTTGTCACAGTCCTAGACGGCTACCTCCTGGAAGGAGTGTGGATTGTTAATTCTTAAGAACTCCTACTGCAAGAAAGGGCAGTCGTGCCGATATCGAGATCCACCGCCAATAAGATCATTCCGGGATGGAATGACTTTACCGAGGGGGCAGTGTGACGATAATAGATAGTACTGTTGGCGCCATCTATTAGGAGACTCTCCTTCCCGTACCAGTGACTCGCCTTCTAGATCTACGCCAGGTGACCTCAAATATTCTAGATGCCGCTTTGTCGCTCGCCATACCTCTCTCGAAGCAGCGATTCGGAGTATATATAACTCGACGGCCGGGAGATGGAAGCACGGTGCGGGGTACATTAGAGTAGAGCGGAGTGGAGTGCAATCAATGGCGCGGCATAAGAATTAGTTAGACATAAATAGTGGTGTACATAAATGTTCTATCTGGTCAAGTAAAGTAAAGAAGTGCATTTATTTTTGTGGAATCTCGAGTTTTAATCCACACCCAAAAGAACCCAGAAAAACACCACATTATATTCTGCGGTACAAGGGATTATATATTGAATGTATTTCGAATAAAAGACCATCCGCCTTTTGATGCACCAGGTAAGTATTCTAGAAATATAAGTTAACGAATGCAACAAATTCTTCAAAAGGCAACCCTAGCTTAAACTCATACAGATGTCACTCTTTATTGACAAAGTTTAATTCTGGCAAATCAATATTCTCGTCTACAGCTTAGACTATGTGTGTGGTGTGGACATGTAATTATATTTTTCAATACAATACATCTGGTAGTAACAAACAGCATGTGACCACAAAGAATACTGCAAAGCTTGATCGTGAGACTGAAGAACTGAAACACGAAACCATTCCATTGGACGTTGGCAAGTTGATTCAGCAAGGGCGTCAAGCTAAAGGACTCAGACAGAAGGATCTTGCTACAAAAATCAATGAGAAACCACAGGTGATTACTGATGAACGGATTGCGAGCAAGAGGGTCAGCGTGTCGCGCGCGCCAGAAGGGCTACATATTTTAAGTTTAATTAAGATTCCCTATTTCCAATAAGTTTATATCTATAGGGGTTCAGTGAATACAGTGTCTCGCAACTTAATCGTGGTATTATTGTCTCAGCCGTTACCTTACCCTTGATGGTAGAGAGTCTCCCCAGAAACAGCTGAGTCAAGTCGGGATTATACACTTGTTGCCTCTTGGCCTACTGAGGCAAAAAAATGATTCCACCTGACAACGAACATGTGTTCCACAAAGACAACAATAACATGACGAGATAATAAATATCCATACGAGCTTGCCAGGTAAAATAGACCTTTGGAAGCTTACGGTCAAGAACAATATACAAAATTTCTTTGTATTGATGAACATTGGTCAGAAAATTATCAAATTTAGTGCACCTGCATAAATTGATTTTCACTGGTTTGTAGTATTTGCAGATCTGAGAGCAAGTGTGGTGGAACGGCCATCTTTGCCCATGAGTCTGTCATCTCCGAGGTCTGTCCTATCCATATTATCAACGAGCTGACGAGCTCTCTTTGGAATTTGTGATTGAATTTTCTCCAGTTAAAATTCAACGTTTTTGTCTGATTAATATATATATATATATATATATAACTTGAGACGTGGTCATTGTCGTCTAGACCAGTTAGGTGAAAAATTAAAGCTTCCGCCTTTTGTTGGGTACTTCGAGAAAATTTAAGCAAAGAGGACTCTTTATACTTGTTTTAATTCTTTCTAGCTTTCAATGGACTTTGCCATCATCATCAGTAACTGCAATTACAATGATAACAGTGGCAACAAAAGCGTAAAATGAATTTAAATTGAATCAACTTACAGTAGTATGTGAGGATGTTGCTAATTGTTGTTTTCGTATAGGATGAGGGAAACGTCCAGTAACATGGTGAGAGCTGGATACATGGTGCAATGGTTAAAATTATATAAAATATGACAAGACATGTTAAAGACAGATTAACAATTATTTAGAAAACATTAGAGCATTACGTCGTGAAGCCATTTGATGATTGCACAAAATGGTGGTCATGGAATAATGAGTGAGATGAACCAACAATTAGCAACATCCTCACATACTACTGTAAGTTGATTCAATTTAAATTCATTTTACACTTTTGTTGCTACTGTTATCATTGTAATTACAGCTCCTGATGATGATGGGAAAGTCCATTGAAAGCTAGAGGGAATTAAAAAGAGTATAGAGAGTCCTCTTTGCTTAAATTTTGTCGAAGTACCCAACAAAAGGCGGAAGCTTTAATTTTTCACCTATATATATATATATACCTGATGCAGGTAATTTTGAACTATTTTAAGTCTAGCAGTTCTGAAGATGAGGAGATACTGCATGTGGAGAAAGAGATTTGGAGGAGACTTGGAGACATCCGAGTCACTTTCTAGGATATCTGGAGACCTGGAGCCTTTGGATGGACAAGCCACTTCAGCACGTGAAGCAACCAAAGAAGGTTCGGACACCAGGATAAACCCGCTACCAAACATAAGAGACACAAGGAAGCTTCACGGGAAACGTCTAAGAGCCGATCGCCTACTGCGTCCTGCTGTAAACGATTTGCTAACTTTGAAGGGCAAGTCAGTCAAATATTGAAGAATTCTGTTTCTAGTTTCTTAGGGAGCATGATGGACTTAACGATCGGCACGTTAACATTGAACTTAATAGATTTTTCGATTCTTTCTGCTTCTGTTTTCAGACATGCTTTCCACTATTATCCAGAATCAGAAAATCAAGGAAAAAAATGCCCGATATAAAGAAGAAGAGAAAGGTCATACTTGGTGTCGAGGATCGAACTTGAACGAGATGAGGAAGCACATAAAAATTCTACCAAACGTAAGAGGGAGGAGTAGACGATATCCGTTGAAAAGAATGGTGGATAGTCACGAATAATTAAAGATCTGCTGGAGAAGGTTGTAGACAAAAAATCTGTGCTTCAGGTGCAAGTAAAAAAAAATATCAGGGTGCAAGGCATTTTAAAAAGAGGTCTGAAAAAGACCTAGCGTTCCAAATAACCACGATCTTGGAAATAACCTCGGACGATCACGATGCTATTGCAGAAATTGCGACAAAGCAATGGACTGAGTCAACCTACAGGAGGACCAAGTGATTGATAGGAAACCCTCTGTGGGAAAGTACGGACTGCAGTGATCTGGTGCTGTGCATAGAGGCTGGACAGAGCACAGCAGGGTTTTCCTACCTCAAATAGAATAGACCAAAAAAGCTACTTCTATAAGGTAAAACTGCTACCAAATATAAGGAAGGGAAAAGGAACACTGAAGCTGTAATTGTGTCTCCCAAGATATATCCTCTGCTGATCTCCTGAGGAAACCTAAACACGAGGCTAAGTTTGACGAACTCAGAATAAGTGGATAATGTTAGATCAAATGGAAAGATAAAGATTCCAACCTAGCTATTCAGTATTGCAAAAAGAGAATACCTGTCAAGAAAATAACTAAAGCTAGAGGGTACAAGGGGCTACACTTACCTGGTGTAAATATCTACTAGTGCTACTTTTCGCCATATAGCCCATACAAGGAATTTGAAGACTACCTCGAAATACTTTGGAGACATTTTCTAGAAGCTTCATGCTTGGAGGTACCCAGGTCGTCTCTTCTAACTCACTAGCCTACCTAGGAGTTACCATAGACAAAGTGAGGTCATTCAGGCAGCATATACACCGGGTAACCATCAAGGCAAACAAAGTTTCGGCCAAGCTTGCACGAATCATGTCCAACACACATGGTCCAAGCAGTGAGTGCCGCAAGGTGTTATACAGGGTAGTGCAGCCAATCATCCTGTAGCCAGGGCGTTTACGATGCTTTTTCAGAAATCGCGGGGATTTGGCTAAAGAGGTACGGCGCTCAGCTATTGCGGTACCCACTCCCGACTTTGCTAGAAAGGAGAGGATCAAAAAGTCCCTTGAATTCGTGTTCACCGGAACAAACATACAAGTTAGGCTCCAGACTCCTACCGAAGACCAAGCCAAATCAGCTAATATCAAGGGAGCTGCCACCAAATACAAGGAAGGAAAAAGGTGATGGAACACTGAAATCGTAGTTTTGTCTGCAAGGATATAACCTATGCTGATCTCCCGAGGAAAGTCAAACACGCGGCTTATTTTGACGAACTCAGAGTAACAGCGAAAGGGCGGAGGAGCATACCAATTTAACAAGATAGTGGCAGGGCAACCCTACAAGTCCGCAGTATGGCAGGTCTACTAGTGAAGACAAGCGGCATCTGTACTACCTCTCCGAGGACGTATAAATCAAGTCCGTCATTTCTGGACCAAATTCTCAAAGTGGACTAGCTCTAAACGGCGCCGATGTCCGACAGCGTCCCGCCGAGGGTGTGCACGGACATCAGTACCTCTGAGGACGAGGAGGAGGTTCGACCTCAGTCATGCTCAGTAGAATTCAATCTGCGAAGAAAAGATTGAAGCATGTTCTGTGCGTCACAGATATTACAAAATTTCATTTACCGTCGTCGATAACTTTCTCAGGATGCTTATCCACCGCGAGACCAGACTCATTCGGATAGCTCTCAGAACCCTGGGCGCTGAGGATCACCCTGCCGAAGAGGCACATGTCATTCTTAGTGGAAGACTAGCAAGACCTGAAGGACCTAATGAATTCCACCCGGACCTCCCGACTGTGACGATCATATCGGGGTAAATCTGCATATTCAATCACAATCGCTTAAGAGAATGAATATGCATGCCTTCATTTTGCTACCAGACAACTGTAAAGCAGCAGAAAAAAATTCTTGAGTTGTGGACCAGCAGTTCTGAAGATGAGGAGAAACTGTAAGTGGAGAGAGATTTTGAGGAGACTAGGAGACATCCGAGTGACTTCCTAGGATATATTCATCCTTTGGATGGATAAACCACTTCCGAGCATGAAGCAACCAAAGAAGATGCCTGGGAAAACCCATCATGAGCGAGATAAACTCGCAACCAAACACATCTAAGAGACACAAGGCAGCTTCACCGGGGACGTCTAAAAGGCGATCGCCTACTGCGTCCTGCTGGAAACGATTTACTAACTTTGAAGGGGAAGTTGAAATCATATATCTCACTGGAGATGACACCGATAAAGAAGCGGAACATATAGAACGAATAAAGATGAGAAAAACTAGAAGGATAGTATGAAGAGAGAAAGCAGAAACTATAATAGTAAAAGATACAGGGTGGGGCAGAGAGGATGGTCGGTTTTAAAAAAATCATAAAATAGTTAATTTTTACTCGAAAACAAATTTATTGATGGAATCAAGTGTGGAAAATCACATCAGTCATGTGGTAGCCGAAACCGTTGATGCAGTGCTGGA